GTCAAAGATTATACAATTTAATTTTAATTTAAGCTGGCTCCCTAACTCTATCATTTTAACAAATTCTAATGTCGGCATTGATAATGCAAAGATGAATAATTACAAATTATCAGAGTTGGCAGGAACTAACATAGTGAGCAAGCAGAGGTTAGAAACACACTCTGTTTATACTCCAAAAAACTCAGTTTAAAAACTGCTTAAGTGATTTGTATTCTGGTGAGGAAGGAAAATAGAAATGGGAAATTATATTAAAGGCTGAAATTATAAACAACTGGGTAATTTACATTATAATAACTATATGTATCTTTGAACAATAATATTCCTTCTCTTCATGTATTCAGTTTTCTTTTTCATTTTTTCATTTTTGGATTTAATTAAAGATTTCTATTATTCTAAAAAAAAAAAAAAAAAAAAAAAAAAAAACACTAAATGTATTAGAATGTATAGAAAAAGCTGCTAATTTTATTTTTTTTTTAGTAATATGAACATCCAGAAGAAATACGAAATATATACAGTAGGGACCGGTTACAGTGCTGGTGTGGCAGAATTTTTTTTATTTAGTGACACACCGAGCAACAAAATCTAGAAATAGGAAAACTTTTAGAATTTAGAGCAGGCATTGGAAGCAGAATTTTGAATCCACAGAGATTGCATAAGTTAAGAAAATGTCTAGCTCCAGTTCTGTGTATGATGCAATAAGACATATTAGACGAGTCTTTTAAATTGTCAGTTTTCAATTTTTTATTAATAAAAAAATTCCTTTCTATAATGCCTGTCCATGTCATACGTTTAGAAGCATTTTTGATATTTTCCATGCTTGTGTCTAGAAAAAAGTAGAGAAAATAAAGGGAAGATAAATATGTTAAGAAAAAGATTCTAGTATCAGAAGTAAAACATTCAAATATTATGTTTTTTGTTGTTCTTCCAGACGTTCTCCAAAAAGTAAGAAGTTCATCGCAAACTTTCTGTAAAATACATCCATTATGTGTTAAGATCATGGAGATATTTTTTAATTTGTCACATTTTTCTGGAATCTTCTAGAATTGTGGGTCTATCCTACCTTCAAATCTTACCTTCAAATTCTTCTAACTTTCCAAGCTGCAATGTTTAAAATCCTAAAGAAAAATTACCCCTACCAATTCTGTAACAGCAAAAAGCCAGAGATATTTTTTGGGGAAAAAAAAAAAAAAAAAAAAAAACAAGAGGGAAAACTGTAAAATTAATTTTACAGAGAAACATTATGCATATTCTCAGAATTCTGAATATTCCAAAACAATTACATGGGAAAAACTCTTACTATGAACAAATTCAAAGAAGACACTTTTAATTAATTACATCGGTATAAATAGGTATTTTCCATTTGCTAAGAACTGTTTTGTAAATTGTGCATAGCATTATACCTTCTTTATTTTCAGCTTCAAAATATTGTACAATAAATGGCCAAAATAGAACTTTATTTCATATGACAGCAAAAAATAAGAATGTTTTATTTTAATCTTATTTTTTAGATATAATTTCAATATATTACCATTATTTTAATGAAATTTATTAATGTTACAATGTTTTAAAAAAAATCGTTGAAAAATTCCCAGATCTCGGAATTAAACATTTTCTATAGAAACTGTTATTGAAATTGCCAAAATGTCGTTAAATTTAGAACAGTTTAATAAAAAAATTTACATCCCTAAAAGCGAAAAATTGTTTAAGAACTCTTTAGAAAAAACGAAATGATTTTGAAATGCTTATGTTTTACTTCTTGCTCAGAAACTCGAGTATCCCACCATTTATATTAGAAATAGGAACAAATTATAACCTACGAACCCATTCAAAAGATAACGATATTTGTCAGTAAATCACCAAAAATATTTCTAAAAATACTAATTCACACTCAAAATGGCAATCATAAAAACAAATAGAAATTTCAGATAATTAAAATTAAGGACCTTCTGCCAATTTTGACCAATATTAAGGACCAAAAAATCCATTCCAAAAAACCTAAGGACTTTTAAGGACTCTTAAGGACTGTACAAACCTCAAAACAAAGTGTTATAATGTAGCTGCACTTTGCTGATCCAGTTAGCTTCACATAGATTTGCTGGAGTTATAACACAGTTAATATACAGAATTTAATATAAAGTTCCAATAAGCCACTAAAGCGTCAGGTTCATCAAGCCACTAAAGCATCATCACCGGTAGGTTGTTTTGCAATCTTTTACATCTCATTAGCAGTAAGAAATAAGTTAAATATGTTACTTTCTACATTTTTGTTTTGTTAAGCTGAAAGTAAATAAGTTACTTTTTACATTTTTGAGTTGTCTTGCATCCAGAATAAAGCTTAAGGAAAGGAGATAACTCACCTTAACATATAGAGATAACTTCTAAGGATAAGCAATTAGTTACAAATAATTAAATTACCTAGTGAAATACCCTTAATTATAATAGATTTTACATAGTTTCAATTCCAATTTTTTTTTCCAATTTAAAAAAAAAATATCACTTAAAAAGGACTAAGAACATTTTACAGCAGCTATAATTTATGATATTGATTCTAAAATGATATTAGTATTACATTAAAAGCTGCAAAACATTTATGTTTTGTACCAACAACAAGTACAGCTCTTTTTAACTTGAAAATGTTCCAATGTTCCAGATATTTTATCTAATTTACATTAGTTTCCTGTTCTTTAGTATATTTTCAAAGTTTATTTCTTTCAATATACAAATCAATGTTCCCACTAGTATCTACTTCATCTCCTAACTTGTTAATGTTTCAACAATCTACTTTTGCAGAATAATTTTCTTCCTCTTTATTCTCTCTCTTTACAGAGTTATTACGTTCTCTCTTTATTCTCAGTTTCTTCTTCTTCAATGAGTTTTCTCTTCATTTTACAATTTTTAGATTTAAAGTTAGTTTTAGATTTAAAGATTATTTGTTATTCTAATGAACTGCTAATTTTATTTCCTTAATAATGAGAAATAATTAATAATATGAGAATAAATATGAAATGATATAATGGTTAGGGCAGGCATCAGAGCCAGTGTAGCAGAATTTTTAGAATTTGGTGAAGGAGCTATAAGCAACAAAATTTTGAGACTTAAGAGCAGGCACTGAGGTACATATGATGCACTTAGATATATAATATGAATTTTTAATAAATTGTCAGCTTTCAATTTTTTTTTATTCCCCCCTCCCTTCAGCAGTGCTTATGTCTAGTGGTAAAATAAGAAAATAAGGGGAAGCTAAACATGCCAACAGAAAGACATATGGGATCAAAAGAAGAAAATTCAAATAATTTTATTTTTACTGTTCTTCCAAAAATTCTCCTAAAGATAAGAAATTCATCACAAATTTCCTATAAAACATATCCACTGCACGTTAATTACATGAAAACACTTTTCATTTCATTACACTTTTCTGGAAATTTGCAGGTCTATAAATTTTGCCTTCAAACACCTCTAAGCTTTCCAAGGTGAAAGATCTAAAAATCCAAAAGTAAAATTATATCTACCAACTCTGTAACACCAAAAAGGCAAAATTTGTGAAAAAACAAAAGAGTTTGGAAAAGAAAAGTGTAAAGTGAATTTTCAAGATTACACTGGTACACATTTAAATATTCTGAAACAATTAAATAGGGTAAACTCTTACTGTGAAGAAATATTAAAGAAGGAAAATGAAATTAATTAAAAAATAATTACAGTAGTCCACCGCCCCTGAGAATTGTTATGGAAACTATTCTTTACACCATTTATTATCTCATTTATTTTTCAGAACCAAAATATTCTTAAACTATCAAAATAGAAAGCAAAGCAATGTCGCATTCAAATATGGAAGGAAAAAATAAAAATATTTTAATTTAATGTTATTTCTTAAGTATAATTTTAATATATTACCATTATTTTTATGATCTTTATCAAAGTTATTACGTTTTCAAAAACCAATCGTCAAAAAATTTAAAAATCTTAAAAAATTGTTGTGTAAAAACTGGCTTGAAATCAATCAACTTATTGACTTATCTACACCAAAATTTTGACTAAATGTTACTAATCGACTTAACTACATCAAACATTACACAACATTATATTTACTTATCTACACCAAATATAATGATAACATTACACCAAAATGTTGATAAGCCTCTAAATTTAGCACTATATAATAAAAAAAACACATATTTAAAAAAAAAAGGGAAAGTTGTTTTTGATGCAATACTTTATAAACTCTTCATTCGCAAAAAAAAAGAAGAAATTATTTCGAAAAGTTTATGTTCAATCAAGGCAGGGCCTCGCGCTTGAAACTCAGGTACACACCTTTTATATCAAGAAGTAGGAAAGAATTCAAACATTAACCCATCAAATACATATTTGTCAATGCATGGCCAAAAATATTCTTCCAAAATGTTAATTCACACTCAAAATAGCAGTCATAAAAAAACAGACAGAAATGTCAGATGAGTAATTAAAGACCTTTTGCCAATTTTGGCTGACATTAAGAACTTTTAAGGACCAAAAATAGTTTCTAAAAAAAAAAAAAAAACTCAGGGCTTTTAAGTACTTCTAAAGGTCAAATGAACCTTATCTATATCATGCTTCATGAATTTGTATGGAAATGCTGCAGAAACCAATCCAAAGAATTTTTTAATGTACTCAGGAACTAACAGAGAATATTAACATCAAGAATCATTTACGAAGTTCCAAGATACAGACCTGATGTAGTTCTTTAAGAGGATAATGCTAAATGCAAAAGATAAATTTTCTTCAGTTTTAAGGTTTGATTATTTATTAATTCCTTACTGAAATTTATCTTTCAAGATACAAAAATACCACTTTATTAAAATTAATTGTGATGTGTGTGTGTGTGAATAATTTATTAAAATAAATATTAACTAACAGAGAATGTGTTAATAATTTATTAAAATGTGAATAATTTATTAAAATAAATTATTCACACACACACACATCAGATAAAAATTTAACTGTGCATTCAAAAATCTTCTACTTACTACTGTCTGCCAAACAACTGAGAACTAACAGACAATGAGTGACAACATCTTCATCAGAACTGAATTTCAATAAATATTGCAACAACACATCCAAAATTCCAGCTTCAATAGCTTGATCTTGAATTTCTTCTGCAAAATTTAAAAATATTCAGGATTACAGATCTAAGCATGATTTGAAAATATGATTATCAGAATTAGGACAGAAAATAATTTGGTATTTAAAATAAAATAAAACGGGGCTAAAAAAATAATTCTGAATTGCTATTTTTTTTAAGCATTATCCTTACATTAAATCCCAAATATAATTAATCTTTTTATTATTTTCCTTTAAAATTACTTTTTTATATTTAATTTGATAAAATTTTATTTTTACTTGCTAACATAAATATTTGATACTTTTGCTTTTTCTTCAAAGAGTTAATAATTTGAAATTCATGTCTGCTTCTTGAACAAGAAAGATCGATGTCCGATTCTTTTGAAATACATACACTTTCCAATAAAATTAATGCTAATATATAGCTAGAATTTCTCTAATTTTAAATGTTCCATTTGCAATTATTATTTTGCATCTATTTTAACACATTTGCTGCTGATCACGCACTGGTGCATGATTGGTGTTATTGTTGAAAAGCAAATCACACTATGGCATGTAGTGTGGAGTGATGTCTCAGGTGCCAGTCATATGCTGGTGCGAGAAAAGCAATGTCTCATTTATTTTTAAGTTCAATCGGCATTACATGTTGAATATGTAAACTAGCATTGCCATGAAGGTGTGAGGTTAGAAACTAGTTCTAAATTTATGCGTTTTGGAATGAAAATAAAGTTTCCTTTCATGCAAAGAACATACAAAAATATGATTCTGAAATATATCATTTGCAATTATATCATTGTAACTATCTTATAAGAAATTCATTTGTAATAAACATATACTTGTTTGGGATATAGTTTCATAAAAAATAATTCATATTGTTACTTATTTTGATTCATTTTTAAATGCCATGTGTCAGCACATAACACAGCATTGCAAAAGTAATTTTATCTCTAGTGCCTATCACACCTTGCCACAGAGTCATAAAATAATATGCTTTAAAGGCTTAGTAATCAATGTGGTATGCATAATAACCTTTTACTACCTCTTTTAAATCATATTTCTTATAATAAGTAAGTCGGAATAAGGGTATGATCTATTTTTATGACACATCATTATCTATCAACACAACCTCACATGACCAGCAGCGAAAACGCTAATTAATTTCTATGAAAGTCTACATATCTCATGTTAAATAAACAATATAACTCAGATTAATTTAGTTAATTTAGTTTTTATTACTTGTTTCACTTTTCCTTATATTTGCAAAAAAAGCATGTTATTCTAATAAAAAGTCTGAAAATTGCTTTCATTTTTTTTTTATGTCAGATGTGGAAAATAAAATTTTTTAACAATAAATTCAATCTCTATGCTGGATATATGCTATCAAATCTAATTTAATCAGTGGTTTCCTTTAATTTCAAATTATTAATGTTATGTATTCTCCCCATAATTATACATTTTACTTTAATGACCAGCATATAAAATTCATTATCATGATTTAATTTTGTTTTATCATGTTACAAAATGACCCTATCTTGAATATTTTAAAATATGAGCCTTGACTGTGAGCAAAGTATGGAAATTAAAATTAAATGTTATTATTATTATTCCCCTCAAGGTTTAAGCATTAAATTTTCAATTGCTTACATTAAATGAAAAATAATAATAATGAATATAAATAAATACACATTTGCTTAATCAACAGATGCTTACCATAAGTATCAGTGAGATTCAAAAGGCAACCAGAAGTAATAGTACGCATGTTTTCAGGCAAATTATCTTTTTCTAACAGGTTTCTTAGCAGCTGAATAAGCCGATCCACACCATTATGCTCTTTGACTAAGCTACGAGCTGCATCTTAAGAGATAAATTCATTTTAGCAATGTAATCATATATAATATACAAAAATAATTCACTTGTAAATTCTCGAAGTCCTACAAATCAGTCAACACCTAGCCCTCTTTAATTAATAACAATAAAAATTTTTAATTCAAAATTTTAAGAGAAATAAAATTAGCATGTCTACCATTAACTGTAATACTTCATTTTACCATCAAATTTTAAAGCATTTCTTTAAAATTTTTATTTCAATCAAATAAGGGACTTTCATGAACTATTATTACTATTTAAATCTCCTGCAAAAACTCTTCTTTACAATCCATCTTCTACCTAATAAATTCTACCTCAAAATGTCAAATATATTCCATGAAAGCAAAAGAGAAACACACCAAGTGAAACATAAAATTAGTAACACAGCAACCTTGAGTTTGGTGTAGATTTAAGCAAGGCTGTGGAGTCAGTAGAGAAAATGATTGACTCCAACTCCTGAAATTTTAAAGATTCCAACTCGACACCCTCATATATATAATATATGTAAACATATACACATGGGTTACAGTTTATTTTTTTAATATAAAAGAAAAGTTAATAGATGCTACAGAAAAAAAAAGATTGACGGAATAGCAAGTTATTTATATTAATTAGCATTTACTATGAAATGGAAAAACTGGTATTAGTTATTTCTAAGAAAAAACAGTATAGATTCGGCAAGACCTTCTTTGTTGGAGGGCCATAGATCCAATTTGATAAACTTCAGAGCTGAGAAGAGTCTTTCCACATTAACTTGAGACGGAGGAAGAGCTGTTACTGTTAAAGCTACTTCTTTTAACTTTTCAGGATAGATTTTTTATGAGTTCTAAAAGAGGTGTCTTGCAAGTGCAATCATATTTGTCTAGTTCTTCACAGGCCATGTAGAAATCTTGTTTGTATTTTTTCATTTTTATATTTAAAGACTTTTGGTTCTTTATTTTCATTCGCTTTGCCTTAGCCTTTTCAATATTATACAGAAATATTACTCAAAATCTAATTCATCACTGGAAGAGAATGATAGAGACTCAAATGCAATGTCTGCAGTTTGACGGTCCTGATTTGAATTATCCAATTGTTCTGAGAATAATTTTATCTTAATGAAAGTTCATAGATGGCTTTCTTTGCCTTTTTAATTTGTTTGTCATCCAAGGAAATTCAGTGTTTTGGATCTACCCAGAAAGATCTCATTGTTTAGCAAACTAGTTTCTTCTTTCTTCATTGAAGAAATGATTCCTTCTGCAATAAACTCTCCATTTCAGATAGAACAAACATCACATTCTTCCATTCTCGCTTCCTGTCAATTCTTCAGACTGCAGCTTTTTTGTTGCTATATACAGTGTAGAAAGAAGAGTTTCCAATTCTGCAAGATCATTCCACAGTCTTCTTTTTGTTAGTGAAACATTAGGGTTATCTACATCTTCTAAAAAAGTTCTTAATTCTAACAACCTCTTTATCGTCAAATATGTACTTCCTTATTGCGTTGCTTGATCAATAATTGCTCCTTTCCCTGCTCATTTCCTAAGAATGGCATCAATTTTGGGAGTTCCTGCTGCTATTCTGCTTACCTAAATTTACCAGTGAGATTTGTAACTAAATGAATAAGTTTAATCACTAATAGCAAATATCACAATCCATCCCCCTCCATTATTTATTTATTAATATGTCAAAAAATAGAAATAAACTCTTTATTAATGCATAGTCCATAAATAAAAATAATAACTCAGTTTGTCATTATTCAGCTCCTTTTAATTTCATTTTAAATTCAAACTGTCCAACAAAAAACTGAAGTCGACGTTGACCTGTTTTTAGCGACTCCTTTTACCCCAAAATCTGCTCGACTCTGATTCCGACTCCATGACTCTGATTCCGACTCCACAGCCGTGGATTTAAGTCAAGATCTCAGTCAATTTCGAGGGCAAACACGTATTGTCGCTTTTCATTGGAGCAAAGAAATTTGAAAGTTGTTGTGTTACTAATTTTATATTCCATTAATACATAAAATATTTCTTTGTCTTCCAACTTACTGTTCTACAAACTCTAACAAATGTGTTATCAATTTAATCCATAGTCATAAATCATTTAAGACAAAAAAAAAAAAAAAAAAGAACAGAATTATTTTAGAAGACCATTAATATAAATTTACACTAATGCAGTTGGTAAATGTGAAACAGTTTAACAGACTATTTTTAATATAATATCACATCAACTATAAAAATCAAATCCCTGAAATTAACAAAATAATTACCAAATCTAAAGCTCCTATAGAAAATGTTGGATTATATATAAAGTTAGAAAATGCATTTTCTCTTCCAGCATAACCACTCTACATTAATTTCACATGTTTATATATATTTATTAAAAAAATGAATAAAAAAAATTACTTTCTCGTTGGTTATTTAGTACACACTGATATGCTACCAAAATACCACATGTGATTCTGATACTTATAAGCATTCAAGCATTCAGCAAACCTTTAAAGTTCTTAGGATTCTTCTATAAAAATAAGTTTTATTTTCTTTTATTCCCCTCTATTTTCTTAAGAGAAGACACAGCTTCTTTTCTTTGTTTCAACTTTAGACCAAGACTGGCATTTATATGCAAACAATGGAAGCTGCAGAGATTAATATATATTAAATTTTAATTTACTTTAAATGTTTAAATAAATTAAATTATTTTTTATTTAAAATATTTAAATTTATTAAATAAATTAATTTATTTTAAATGTTATATAATATAGGCATAAAACATTTTTAAAATATTTTCCTAAACAAAATTTTAAAATATTTATTGACTAAATTAAACAATGAAATACTTTTTTACTTCTTTAATCATGCAACATATTTCTAAAAATTTAAATAAAACATTGAAGTTAATTTTTATTTGAATATATCCCAAAACTAAACAAAGAATAGTAAGCATAGAAACATTTTTCTATTCATATTTACAAGATAGTTATTTACTGAGCTTTTTAGGCCATTTTATATAATAAATAATTTAATAACTTTTATAATTGCTTAATGTTCACTTAAATTAGCAACTTCTTCAAATATGTACATTGTCATATTATTGTCATAATATGTACATTGACATATTCAAAAATATGTACATTGTCAAAATATGTACATTTAATATTATCTAAATTTTAAAAATGAAAATGCCTAACTAGATCAACAAATTTAATCTCTAACAAAATCAACTCTCAGAAAGAACAGCAAGTGATCTGGATACTTGGCTGCTTCTCACCCTTTTTTATGAATGATGCTTAGGAAATATTTGTACACATTATTACATTTATTTCTT